TTAATCTACAGTCTAACTTTTATCCACATGTTCACATTTTTGCAAGGTTCCGGTAGCAATAATGTTCTATTGTTACTCTAACCCTGTGTATTAATAGGCAAGCATGTTTCTTGAAAACCTTTTTTCTCAACTTGTGTTCATCGCAGGGAAAATCTACGCATACTGTTAGAAAGATATTTTCATGTAGATGTGCAGAGTTCCTTTATAAATTAAAATAGGCAAAAAAATAAGCACAAAAAATTGATTTAAATTTAAAAAATTTACATGAGTTTATGGATTGCCATGATGGTGACGAAATAACAACGAAGTATAAACAGAAAATCAAAACTAATTGAAGAAATTCCAATCACATGTTTTATTTACAGCGTGGGGTGCAAATAGAGAAGTCTGTACGGTACATTACATATTAATTTTGGGTCGAGTTTTCGACCAATAGACGACATCTAGTTAAAATAGAAAACAAATATTACCAGTGGCAAACTCTCAAAGAGCATGTTGAAACCACTCAGGCACACTTAAAGAAATGAACAAATCCTATTTATACAATTTGGTGAAAATTAAATCCGAAAAACGAGATCGATAAACGTAGAAACTAATCATACTTTAGATATCTATCTGCGAAAGGTTTGACGTATATTTGATTGCATTCATAGCTACAGACTAACGTGTTGTTTCTGTTAACAGTTAACTGCCTGTTTTTCTAAACCAAGTATTAATCTGACAAACACTTATCACTGGAACTAAGTAGCAGTAGAAGAGTAGATGCAATCTAAATCACCAGTTGAATTTATCATATTAGATTTATCCTCCATATTTTAGACAAAGGAAAGCTTTTTACACAGGTAGATATCGGCCAACGAACTATGCACTTTAGATCAAGCAATCACTAATTTTTATATATATACTTGTCTACTAGAGTACTTTAGAAACTCACAGCTGTGTAGACGCAAAATCCCGGTCGAGAGAAGACTTCGGCTCTATCACCACTGGAGACATCACAACGGACTAAATAAACAACCGATAAATCGAACTAACGACGATGATAATAGAATTGTATAAAGTACAAGAACCGTCGCCAAATGGGTTTGACGGTTTAAATCTGGCAATGAGCTTTCATTGACGCTTTCGAGGATGGATTGTAAATAAACCGATAGGAACCAGGAAAAGTGTGCAATGAACTTGAATATGGTTAAGTTGCTCAAAAAGTCGGTAGGAAAATTAGCAGACATAAGGGATAAGTCTCATCATAGAAAAAATATTTAATTATATACCGTCAGCTGTGCTGAGGTTACCATAGGTTCTGGCGCACACCGCTGGGAGCGCTATGTAGTTACGGCATACGCTATGTAACTACACGGCACTCCCAGCGGTGTGCGCCAGAACCTATGGCAACCATGGTAACCGCAGAATGGCTGACAGTCTATAATTAATTCTTTTTGTCTATGGTCTCATCCATATAGTGTTAAAATTCTAATAATCTATCAAAGTAACTTTTATCCATGAACACAATAAATTGTTTAGTGGTCAACAATTCCTCCTTTTTAGGTAGTTTCCAGAATAGGTCATCAAAGTCACAAAAAATACTAAGGAACAGTTATTTTTATTTCAACATAAAATATGAAATAAAATATATCAAATATGATAGTCTGAAGCTAAAATATAAGCAAGAGGTCTCTTATTTCGTGGAAATTTCCACAAGATTTTTGATGAAAAGTTCCCGTCTTGTTTTAGCGAATTTCCCTTAAGAGAAGTAGCTATTACCGTAGATCTCGTGGTAAGACCTGGGCCCAGGACCGATTTACTTTTTCATTTTGATGTCCCCGGAGGCCAAAAACACTATTCGTTCAATTTTTTTATATGAAAATTGGCCCTATGGGAACGGGGGTTTAAGGGGGGTTTAATGGGGTAAAAATGGTGTTTTCTCATTTTTGTACCCTCAAAACAAAAAAAACCCCGATTTCTTTAGTACCATTTTTTAGAGCTTAAAAACAAATAATTTAGTATATTGAACGGTTTTTTTTACGGTTGTGGTTAAATTGTTACGGAAAATTTAAACAAATCGTAAATTTGACTAACACACCATTCGTAGTTAATGAAGTAAAACTTTACCAAAATAAAATCGTTCATTTTTTTTTACTGAATTTGTAACCGTATTGTATACTACCTTTTGTAAATAAGATACCCCAAATACGATCAAAAACTAGAAAAATATTCTCTCTGCAGAATTAAAGTTTGATGCTATTAAAATAATGAAATTTCTAAACCAAAATAGACTAAAGTAATAATGTTTGCACTAATGTACGGGATGTTGGATGTTGCAAGACTTCATTAAACTTCAGTGAGAGTTCTGTAGTCACGTCCAAGATTGCTATGTAAGTGATGTTGCAAAAGCATAGAGTAAGATATTTACTAACAGAGCCAAACCAAATTTAAAATTTTACAAAATTAAATTTTCTAGGCTATAAATTAAGTGAAGTCCAAGTCAGGAATTTAAGATTTGCCCGTGTAAATTCCGGGAAATAAAACGCCGTTTTTTGAAAGAGAGCAATATTTTAATTTATATATTTAACATTATGTTAATAACATTTACGTCACAATGCAGTGAAAAACGTTATCAATACACGTATTGCGTGGTAATAATTCATATGCGAATTCACCTCAGTTGTTTAAGTAAAGCAAAGATTTTGGCGTTACATTATACAAACAACCGTTAACACACTCATTAAATATATTCGTAAGATATTTGAATGTAACATGTCCATAGTGAAAAATGTAGGTTACGGCATCAGGAGCGTAAATGTTAACTTTACAGCTGATTTTATTGCAGCTGTTAAAAGAATCGGTTCGGAATTTCGCTGATTGCCAAAATGGATCAATGAACAATAAACTCTCAGAGCCATATTTTATGTGTGAGTGGTATACACTAATATTTTCATGCGTTTCAAATTAGTTTGCTTTATGGTTATTTCTCGTAATCAATGCCTTCAATAAAAAATATTATTTGCGGTCAATATTTGATTAGTATTAAAATAAACATATTTTAAGTCTTCTTATAGATGTCTACTTGTCATATTCTCTTACACAAATGCAAGCTTGAAATATGAAGATCTTGAAGCAAACAAGTTATAATCAGTAAAAGAGTAAATCTTTTAAAGTTAAGCAAATATCGAGATGATTCGTGTCCACCTCACACCTTACTCGTGAATAAATACGAAGTTGGGAGCTTTCGTAGGAGAGCGTAAGAAATGGCGAATCACATCATACATTGAGTTTTAACCTCTTTCCCATTTAGAAAATGTCCGATTACGAACGTTATACTAGAATAAGAGTAGATCTGGATAGCACAGTATATACAAGACATGTTTTTTTATGTTTTCCGAGCTCTTGCTCTTTTGTAAAATTCGAGTAGCAAAATGTATTGTGAATGATAACACAAAAGAAGAGGTAAAGGTTAAAAAAAGTAATTATTAGTCTATAGTACAGTCTCCTCTAATACAAGACCGTGGTGTTGGTATGTGGCAACGTTGCACTGGCCTATTTCCACAACAGTAATAACAAACGTAACAAACGCGTAAACAATAACATTCCGCAGACACTCCATATAGAAGTGCAACGGCTGTTTCAGTAGGACGGGAGTGCGGTGTTGCCACATTTGTCTCGGCCGAGTCATACTATTGCTACAATGTCGCCGTGCATACATCAGACAACGACAACATTGTCTCTAAAATGTGACAGATTTCTCTTCTCGCAAGACAGACTTTCTATGCGAAGCCGACGAAGTAGGTCCAAGTGTTTAAACGTCATATTATGTATGCAAAACTGTAGCTTTCTCTATACAGTGTACGATAATCAACCTAGATTAAAAATTATATGTATATCGTATGGTAACAGTATATTCCTTGCTTACAACTTTTAGCATTTATGAAGCAAGGTAAATCTGGTACTCTTCTGTGTTTACCACACTAGATTAGGGTAATATCAATTTAAAAATAAATTTTCTTTACTTTCGTTTAACACGTTTGTTTACTTACCTAACCTTACCTCGTGTGTTTGGCATAACAGAAGAGTACCGAAAACCTTTAAAAAAAATATTAACTGTACCGAGGTAAGAATTAGGATTAAGGCACATGTTAAATTACGTTCAGCTACTTACCCAATTTTTCTGTATAGTTTGAAGAAAAAGAACAGCACCAAAATAAATTCTACGCAAACTATAAGAAGAGTAGTCCGGTAAGAGAGCCAACTTAGGTATTCGATAGCTGGTCCGATCCTAAGAAACATTTGAACTGATGAAGGTTTTACGTCCAGAGTGTCATTATGGTTGAATAATCAGCTGGTTTTAGATATATATTTATGTCGTAGGTTACAGTTTTTGCACACTTTCTGCAATATTCATAGCCTCCTCTATTCAAGTCCGCGGCGTCGGTGTGGCAACGTCGCACCGTCATATTGCCATGTTAATAACAGCAAGAACATACGTGTGAACATAAACATTACGCAGAAGCTCCATTATGAATTAGTGCGGCTGCTTCGGTTGGACTAGAGTGCGGTGTTGCCACTTTTCACCGCGGCCTTATTTAGAGGAGGCCATGCAATAGTTCATCGTTTCAACCACCACTCACATGATTGATCTTCAAGTTTTATAGCATGGAGTGTCGAAAAAGGAGTTGTGAATGAAATTCTTTAAACGTAGTCACTATTCAGCGTAACAATTAACTGAATATTCATTATTTATACGAATCGTACAAGTATTTCACATGTAAAACGTATTCGGAGGATTTTATGTTATACAAAATATTGACTTTATGCAAAATTCCTGCATAGATAAAATTATTCGAAGGTTAATTTCAAAAGTTGATACAAGCTTCATGCGATATCGAAATCACAGACGCGTCGATCTTTACTCAATCCTTACCTCTGTTTCTACTGGAATTAATGTTTAAGACATAACAGTTATATTACTTAAATAACTTTTTCAGTAATTATTACTGTGTACTCACTTGATAACAGTCTGTGTTGTGGTCATTTTGTCGAGGGTTGTTAGTTGAGTTGCATGCCCAGCTTAATCCAAAATCTGTAACAAGGAGTTAGTTTTAACATAACTTATTTTAATATACGTAGGTAAATATGTGTTTACAATAATTTACCTAGGTCGTCCTTACTTTTTTCTACAAAATGTGTCTTTTGAATAGAAAATCATAGAGAAAAGGGGTGATAGATAGATATAGTTTTACTGTGCATGAGTTCTAAATTGACACCATGACGATCCCTATTAACCCATTTTAAAACGAATAAACATTAACATCAATGAAGGAACGAGAAATTTAATTCTAAATTGCATGTCAACAAACTGTACTCAATTTAACAGCAAAATTTTGAGGTTAACGTTCTTAAGTGTCAGAATACCGTTGGAAAAATAATTTAATAGCCAATGTAAAAAAGTTAACACTCTTTGAAGCTTAATGTGACGAAACACTACTTAGAAACAATGGCCACGTCGTTCTTGTAAAACTCGTTACCAACTTGAATGGCTATTGTTGACTTGTAACATAAAACCTTGATTAACATTAAGTTGAGAGTACTTAACGTTTTATTGGATAGTTTATGACTAGTTGATGCCTATATACCTGTTAGTAAACCAACGATGTAAAAACTACAAACAAGTGTTGCGTAGGCCTACTGTTGCGTTAATATATTAATTATCTATTCAAAAGTACGTAGCACAATGGAAAAATGAATTAATTTGAGAGTACTTAACGTTTTATAGGATAGTTTATGACTAGTTGATGCATATATACCTGTTAGTAAACACGTGTTGCGTAAGCATACTGTTGCGTTAATTTATCAATTATCTTGTCAAAAGTGCGCAGCACAATGAAAATATGAATTAATTTGGAGTACTTAACGTTTTATAGGATAATTTATGCCTTATACCTAGTAAACACGTGTTGCGTAGGCCTACTGTTGCGTTAATTAATTATCTTTTCAAAAGTACACAGCACAATGAAAAGATGAATTTACTCAATTATTTTATCTTTACCCCAGTGTAAAATGTAAAAATCGATTACATAGTATAATAATTTAAAATTCAACATAAATTTTTCCTCAAACTCATCCTATCATGTGAATGCAAATTAATCAAACTGTGTTATTATTCTTGTTTCCTTCAAGGACTACTGTATTACGTATTATTACGTTCCGCCAGCTGACTGCTCGCTCAGCTGTTGAGAAAGATGATTGTACTTCACGTGTTTCTTGCTAAATCAGCTGTGGTGAGAACAGCTGACCAGCACAACAATGCCGACTTGAAAACAAGGATTGGAACAATAAGTACACAGTTTTTTATGTTTACTATTGACAGTGTCAATGATATTTAACAGCGGTATTTTGCACTTGAAATAGTATCACACAAAACGTTTTCGAAGGTGGAAACATTCGAAAATAGTTCATGAAATTTGTTACATGATTTAATTTTTGTTTGAACCAAAACTTGTATAAAACTACTATACAGTTGTGGAGATTAGTTTTTAAAAGTTCAGCCATGATAAAGGAGTTTTAATTCACATGTTCTTTGGATTGATGAATCATCCTTTGAGTTTGTATGAAATCATCTTATCACTATTCTGATGTAATTATTAGACTTGTGGAGCTTCTAAAATTCCACGCTCACTTTTTTTAGATACAATTAATTCTGCAAAAGTTATATTTTTGAGTTGACTGTAAAATATCACAATGTTTCTCTAGTAAAAATACTATACATAAAAACAAAAATTGAGATATTTTTGAGAATTATCCTATGCAACTTTAGTTTTTATACAAACTGGGACGGGTGGCGTCGTCCTTTAATCCAGCTACTAGGAGGTTATGAATTGTGGATATTTATAGGCAATCACTGTGGATGCGAATTTTACACAAAGAAGCCGTCTTACAAAGGAGCAAGTTATTTCAGAAAATTGCCAAAAGAATTAAAGTGTCTAATAAACAGTTCCAAATTTAAACTAAAACTAAAAACTTACTTGGTTTGCAAAGTATTATATTCCATAGAAGAGTATATGAATAATTAAGCAAATGTTAATTTAAATAGCTAAGTTGACACTATTCAGATGTACTAACATGTATTTGTCTTGTACGAATAAAGATATTTTGATTTCATTTGATTTGCGATACTCCCTGGTGTGGATTAACGTCCGCACGAGTAATTATTACGATTATCCTGAAAATAAGACCAATTCGTATATACCAAGGCAAAAATGTGGTTCGGATTCCACTATAAACTGTAGGTCCCAAAGTTTTTTGACAAATTTATTAAATCACAATTTTAATATTAACAGCTGTTTCATTCAAAAGTAGTGTAAATGTATGCATATGGTCGTAATGTAAACAAATCTGAAGAGAGAACTTTAAAGGCCTCTGGGCAGAGCCCCAAGGGAATTTACCTTGTTTCTCTTTTGATGGCTCATCTACAGACTAAGACCTTTCTTTAGAGACCCCTACCAAGTTTCTACGCCCAGCCGTTCTCTGTAATTAGCTGTGACAAAACCCTGTTTTCCTCCATAAGAATAACATGGGATGGGAATTTAAAGGCCACTGGGGCAGAGCCCCAAGGGAATTTACCACGTTTCTCTTTTGATGGCTCGTCTACTGACCAAGACCTTTCTTTAGAGACCCCTACCGAGTTTCTACACCCAGCCGTTCTCTCAAATTAGCTGTCACAAAGAAAAACAGTTTCAAATTAATAGGCATACAATCGGTGCCTAAATATTAGTGTAGACAAATCAGCTGTAAACCACGACGCCTGTTGGTGTTGTACTGATATTAATGGTCCAGTGGCTGCAGATGATTTACGATACGTCTATGTCAGCTGCAGTATGAGATGTTGGCAACATTAATCGTATATCGATTTAAATTTGTAATTCGATGACATAATTCAAGGACCAGTATGAAGCTGTGTCATATATGTGAAAGAAATTTTAAAGTACTGTACTGTAGAAATGAGGTGTGTTTGTATGTACATCACAAAACCCACATAAACAAATAAGCTTAATATAATGATAAACTACGTACCCAGGATAGCTTAGAGAATATCCCAGTTTTATATTTTCCTTCGGCCTTTCAAAGATTTGAGTTAAAGCGTTCGGAAGAATCGGTTAGTCATCAGTCTAAAAACCATGTTTACATTATTTACTGTATATTTAACTCTTTGAAATTTAAAAAAAATAATATTCTGTCTCATCTTCAAATTGAATGAAACTTAAGATATTGTCTGAAACTATGTGGTAAAATTATTTAGGCTTTTTACAATCAATGATAGTTTACTGTAAATATTTTCAAAATTATCTATATATATAATTCCGTAAGTCAAATTTTTGTAAAGAAATTGTGAGTGACTGGATGGCCGTAGAAGGATGGGAGGGGTCTTATTTTAAAGGTCTTGACGTGAATTTTGAGGGAAAACTATTAATTTTTCTTATTTTTTTTACCATAAATTCGCAACAGAATAAAACTTTTCCCATTAAAACAACATGGGGTTTAATTTGTTTACATCTTTTGAAATTAAAACAGCTGTGCCACAGATTTGAAAACAGTGATCAATACACGCATTAGGTTTACTTTTAGCCAGTCAACTATGAAATGTATACTATAATAAAACTGAAATATTGAAGATTAGTCGGAAAAACGTCTGCATTCTTTGTTTATATTTAAATCATATACTCAAGTTTCATTTTTTCATGCTTTTACGTTATTGTCGTGTTAAAGGAATAAACGACATAGAATAAATATTCTGTATAAATAATCAAAGAATCAAAATTAAATCTAACTTCTGTTTTGTTTTTATTTTTAAATCATATGTTCAAGTTTATTTTAAATGATGTTGTTTTCTTTATATTTCTACACATTTTAAGGTTAAGGTTGTGTTAGGTTAAAATATACAACTAAAATAACCTATAAATGTTATTGGTTCTAAAATGGTGTATTTGCATTCCTTCGTAAGTAAATATTTTTTTAGTGCAGTGAATATACAACGTAGAGTAATCTTATTCGATCATACTTTTATAAAATCACCAGGGATTCAAGATGTTTTGGTATGTAGGCTGCTGGATATATATTCTTTTCATTATAAGTACTGTAACTAATATGAACGCCAGGGGAATACCACAAAGGCGGGGAACTGTTCATAGGAATGACAGTGCGCGTAGGAGAGCAAGAGTAGATAATGACGAACTTAATCAAGATATGTTACAACCCCTTTTTAGGAGACCCATGGTAGACGAGAGAAATGTAAAGATCCATGATGCAGGATTATTGGACCAAGAGTGTAGAGTGCATTCAATGTAGTGCTCTTCATTTTAGAGAAGAACTAACGAATAATCATTTTATGACATGTTGCCATAACGGACTTATTAACCTTCCTCAGTCAAAAACTAATGTAGAACTTAAAAGTTTGTTTGAAGAGAGCCCACAACTGTATAAATTCATTCGACAATGCAACAGTGCGATGGCTTTTGCTTATTTTTCAGCCAGTAAGAAAGATATTCCAGGAAAAGGACCATACTGTTTCAAAATTCAAGGACAGATTTATCGTTCAATCTCAGATTTGCTGCCTCAACATGATGTGTCCAATGTGTGTGTGTGTGTGATGTGTGGCCAATTGTACATTATTGACACATCAACAGCAACAGAAATTCGTCAAAGGCGTCGAGAAAATAGTGACTTAAAACCTGAAATATTGTCAAAACTAGCTGAAACTCTATTAGAAAATCCATTTGCACAAATTTACAAAAGAGCTTCGGAAGAAATGGTTGTACAAGGTGACAGTGAATTAGAACTTAGGTTTGTAGACAGGATAAATATGGATCGTCGTAGGTATAATAAGCCTACTGCAGGCGTCTTCAATTCATCTGAAGGCGAACCTCCAATGAATTTTTAAAATTCCAAACAGGGAAGCTTTTATTTATCCTCATTAACCACAAGACCAAAGCTACCTTAGTAAACCAGTATTTATTCACAAACAATGATATGTTTTCTGCCTTTTCATGTTAAACCACTGGAGTGATTCAAATTATTTATTGAAAATGACATCAACAAAAGCAAACAAAGAAGAACAACAAACTGGTTTTTACACAAAAGATATGGTGTAGGGATGCCTATTCTGACACATAGATAATGTTATTCTGAGTTTGTTTAAATACCGGTATTGCAAAAAGTTGTTTTACATTTGAGCTTTTTAGGGACTTATGTCCCTACAAGCCACTAGTTGTTCAATAAATACTATTTCCAGCGTTCTCGGCTCGTTGGGAAGTAAGGTTGAAAAAATAATGCATAAAATTACAGTCCCTACATAAAAACACTGTATACATTTGAGAATATTACGGGAAACCTTTAGTATTGTGAATTTTTTTAATGCGAACAATATAAGAGAGATTCATCATCGAACGAATCTATCCTTTTTGTTGTCAACTAGTAGTACTGTATCGTACTAGTGAATAGTCCTTTTCATCAAACGAGCTGTGAGATAAAGGAGCTTAAAAATTAATCATTCAATACATTTTAAAGAAAATTATTAATATAGCAAATGGAAGTCTACTTCAGAATTTGTCGCTGTACTAGAGATATACAGAGTGGCTGAAAAGTAACTTAAACCCCCCTTAACTTTTCAACCATTTGAGATATTTGAAATCTCTTTGCGGTAACCTTCTTAGATATGAGGGGCTACAATAATTATGGTCAATTTTGAAAATGTTGCCCTTCCAGTGGAGGTAGGGGGTAGCTCAAAATTTTCAAACGACAAGTATAGTCGAGTTTGTATCATTTGACAGGTATTATCGAAACATAAAAATGTGCATGAAGAAAACCAAAATTGGCCCACTAATAACAAAATGGTGCCCTAAAACGTTTCAAATCCAAATAACCACGAGGTTGGCTGAAAATTAACTTGCACCCCCTTTAACTTTTTAACTATTAGAAATATTTGAAATCGGTATGTTGCTACTTGTTTGGATATGAAGGGCTACAATAATTATGGTCAGTTTTGAAAATTTTGAGCTACCCTCTACCCCCGTTAACCATTAGGGCACAATTTTAAAAACTGACCATAATTATTGTAGCCCCTCATATCTAAGAAGGCTACCGCAAACAGATTTCAAATGGTTGAAAAGTTAAGGGGGGGGGGGTGTAAGTTACTTTTCAGCCACCCTGTATGAACAAAAACATTATTTATTCTTTTACTTTCCGACATTTTAAGGGCACCTAATTTTGTTAAACAGGTTATATTTTTTACTATAAATACTAGACGTGTTATTCCCATATAAATAAATAAATAATAAATAAAAGTCTTTATTATCATTACATGTAGAAAATCCATAAGAAACATACCTTAAAAGTGCCTACTTAGTTGATCTATGAGAGTAAAAATCTGTAAAATAGTATGTTTAATCTCTTACTCAACAAAACCTGATCCCTTTGCATTGATTTTCATACGTTGAAAAAGATTACTAAAAAACCAATCCAAAACAAATAAATGTGGAAACAATGATATGAAAGTTTGTGTTTGAAATATGTACTAAACCACATGTAAATACTATTTACATAAAAGCACTTTCGTAAATGTAGTGTGACAATGTAAACCGCAACACCTGCCAAACATGTGGTTTCATGGTTACTCATATCGTGTGCTCCCACTATCTCCGCGTTCCGCTATCTCCGAACCCAAATCTGTCCCGCCATCTCCGAATTCTTGAGTGACCCTTATAATCCAGTCACTGCCTGCGTTGTTAGCTGTCATTGCATCCACGGCTGCGAAGCCCCGTGGATGGAAGATTTGATGAAAATTTAACCCGTGGGCTAGGTTAGGTCAGGTTAGGTTAGGTTAGGTTAGGTTAGGTTAGGTTAGGTTAGGTTAGGTTAGTTTAAGTTAAGTTAAGTTAGGTTAGGTTAGGTTTGAATGGAAAGTCTTAACGCAGGAAGTAACCGAGGATTATAGGGGTCACCCTGAAATTCGGAGATGGCGGGACGCGGAGATAGCGGGAGGTAACCACTCATATTGCCCTATTTTTCAAATTAGAAATAGTAAACTATATCTTTCTGCTTTATTATGAAACTTAGTTCGAACCTATCATTTTTAATTTATTCAATTACATTTTACGCTCGAAAATAAGTAATACATTTCAATATTATAGCGTATATTTGTTATATACCTATTGTACAGTATTGCAATCCGTATGTACATAAAGATGAAGAACATGCAATTTCACATTACATTTTGAATGTAGATATGGTTTTCTTAATAGACCAACCTTCAGTAAATCAAAAGGAGGTAGTAACAACGGTAACAAGTCTAAAGTTATCCTTGATATGGGATAATTTGTTTAAGCTCTTTTTTATCATAACGTTATCTGTGCCAAAAATGAGTAAAATAATTCTGGGACAATCTATATTTTTTCTAGGGCATATCTTTTAGTATCTACCTGTAGGGTTAGTTTGTCTAGGGGCGTGCGTATATGTTTATCTTATTTAGGGTAAACTGTTAATTGACCGATTTATATCTCGATTTTGACTTCAGAGGAAAGACAGTTATTTATGACAGCCATCTATGTAAAAAACAAATGCACAAAAAACATATTGTATGTGGAGTGTATATGCTCATACCATAAAATACAACATCAAGGTTTTAGGAATTAATTGTTTATTTTTTATTTTCCAGAGAAATCATTTAATATGTAGTTCCTATTATATTTTTGTACATATTTAAATTAAAACATTTCCGTTCACATTTCGTATGTAAACAAAACTATCAAGAACCAAACCAACTACGAAAACAAGTTTAGTTAATCTTAGTTTATGGAATTTGTTAAATGTAAAAAAAATCAGGCCTACAATGTTTTACTTTTTGAGTGCAGAATGTATGTAATGTTTAAGTTGTTTCACTTTTAACTATTTTCTATTAATAAAAACAGTTGCTGACATCCCAATTAGATAAATCATATAGTAGATAACTAAAGAATAACAGCTAATTTAATAACTTGTAAGGTCAAATGTTTTAATTATATAAATTACCGTGTTGTTTGAAGTGGTGTGATGTGTCAGTGGTAGTGTTACCTTTGCGAACGCTGGACAACAACTAAACACCTAGCCGCAACACAGTCAAAACAGCTGATCCCCTCCCCTCTCACCTGACTCTTGCAACAATGCTGAGAAACAGCTGTTCCAGCCGGCTAATCACTATTGTCGGCAATGAAACATCTTCCAATCTTGATCTAATATTGTTACGAGTTACGATAGACTTATTGTTACTTTTGTGTTTCTTTGTATTTTCATTCGAATTAAATGGAAAGTATGTTATACAAATATATTTACAATTATAAATAGAATAAGTGGGATCGTCGTGGGTTAGCTACCGACACCGGGATAAGAGATATTTAAGTTCTAAGACTAAAAAGAGGTGTTGGAAATGTTTGGAAACTAACTGTAACGCTAAACATTTAAAGTTAAGTATTAAATTTGTCTAAATTTATGTAAAAAAAACAATCCCGGGCTCGTGCCTAGCGTCCTAGGACAAAAAATAACTATCAGATAATTTGGTTCTTGGTATAGTTAGAATGGTATTCTGTAATAGCTACGGTTTGTAGATGTCGTAATCTTTCTAAAGAACCTGGATTGTTTTAGTGTGGTCTTTAAAATGTAATAGAAAAGGCTACTACCATTGACTACTGGATCAATAGTCAAATATACTACCTACTTTCTTTGGTCACATAGCATCGGTCTTATACTATTTACGGATTTGACAGATGGGACAATATGAAATGCGTAGTCAACTGATCTAAATCAGCACGAAATTACTAATATAATTGACTATTGGATACTCAAAGCTAATATGTATTGCTATTTTCCATGTTCATACATTTTTTTTGCCGGAATTGTTATTCACATTACTTCAGGCTAGACCTAGGGGTTACGGAAATATCACTTGGATAAAATCCATTGGTGATTTGGCGGGGTTTGAACCCGGAACCCCAGGAACCGGAGTCCCGCGCTCGAACCACTAGACCAGCTCGCTCCCCATGCTGATACATTGGGCTCACTCCAATTAAAGGGAAATGAATAGTTTTTCCATTGTAAAATGGGTAGCAACGAAACAATTAAAGGACAACATTAAAATTTATTACTATAAACTTTAACACTTTTAATTGAACTGGGAATCACGAACATAAATTTAATACAATCCAAAAACTTTATTTCAATACAAAAACGACAAAAACCAATAAAATAATTATTTTTCAACATATACCATACTAAAGTCAATGCTATAGTACTAAATAGTTAACGTTGTACAAAATGTTTTTGATTTCAATGTTATTAGGAATGTCAAATTGCATAGGTACAGGTTTTTGGTCTACTATTTAAAAATTCCCTGCTTATAAAAGTAATGACTTCACGATTGATGGCCAGAAACCAAGTCTTGTGACAAGTTTTAATTGCTCCATTTGTATATGTTACATCAACGGATTAAATACTTAGTTCTAGCGTCGTATTACGACTCATATTTTCTAATTCTCCCACCGGAGTGTTACAACATTTACTTACTGTATACAATTTTAGACAAATTCTCTTGCTTTCCTGACATTATTTGAGTATTTTAAAGGCTACTAGCTGAACCCGGCAGACGTTGTCTTGCCTTTGACTATTTATAATTTAAGTACCGTATATATATTTTTGGTCTTTCTATTCGGCTCAATCACGTCCTGGTTGAAGTTCGTTCGCTACGCTCACTCACCTTTAGGTTGGAGCTCGTTCGCTGCGCTCACTTGCCTTCAGGTTAGCTCGTTCGCTACGCTAACTCGCCTCTAGGTTGAAGTTTGTTCGCTATGCTCACTCACCTTTTGGTTGCAAATTAGCTGTTGTCATAAATGTAAAAGAAATAATAGTGCTGCACCCTGTTGGTAATCCTTGTAACTTTAATGCTATGGAACATCATAGAACAGAACCAACTTGTTTAATTGAAACAGCTGTTAAGATTCATTAATTCCATTTCTCATAAGGTTAACTGGGAAACTCGAGAACCACTGGGGCGGAGCCGATTGGACGGATCACGAAATTGATGGTGTATAAACCTATTCCATGAAATTCTACACGTATTTACCAAGTTTCGTGGCAATCGGTTCAGCGGTGTCTGAGTTTATCACTGTCAAATATACAAACATCCTCTTTTATACTTATAGATATACTTATTACAAAAGTTCTCTGAAACACCTCCTTTTCAGCCACCTTCTCAACAAATATTTAGGATTGAGGTGTCATTTTAGAGCTTATAATCTAGCGCAGTGAGGAGTGGTAATTAAAAAGATAATTTCCCTTCGGGCTTCACTCCTCATAGCCTTTAATTTATTTCTAAAACGAATGACTACTTTCAAACGTCCAGATGCTGACCAATATTCTTTATAACGGTTTCGACTGTATCACTAACCAGTGAAATTGTAAACATGAGACGAAACAGGTTAAAAAAATGAATTAAATGCTGTAGTTTATGAAGTAAGTTCTCGCCTAATAATTGAAAACTAGAGGTCGTCCAGTGGTCGAAACTCGACCAAAAATATGTAATGTACAGACTTCTCTATTTTCACCCCACACTGTAAATAAAACATCTGATTGAAGTTTCTTCCATTTGTTTTGATTTTCTGTTTATATTTCGTTGTCATTTCGTCACCAGCATTGCAACCCACAAGATCCATGTTATTTTTTTCAAAATTGTTTAACTAATTGTTTGTGCTTATTTTTGAGCCTATTTTAATTTATAAAGGGATTCTGCACATCTACAGGAAAATATCTTTCCCACAGTATGCGAAGATTTTCCCTGCGATGCACACGAGCTGAGAAAAAAGGTTTTAAAGAAACATGCTTGCCTATTAATATATAGATAGATGGCCGGTTCGATCCTGAGAAAAGTGTGTAGCTTTTAGATGGTTCGAAACTGGACCCAGCTGTCATTGATAATTGGGCTTTTAATAAATGGTCCTGACGAAACAGCTGATCTTAGTCAGTAACAGCTGATCTTAGTCAGTAACAAAGCTACACGGGCATAGTAAGCGTTTACTGCTGATTAATGAACTTTTCAGGATTGGAATCAATCACTGTCAGTCAGTGTGTGGATCAGACAAACAATCAACACACAGTCAATTCCACGGGGAACCATTTTGTAAACCAATAAAACCTGGTTTGGACATTCACTTGATAGAATGTGGTGCAGCATTATAACACATACTATATAAACTGTATTTTTGTGTCGGAATATTTTCTGTAACTTGTCAGTAATGTGATATCAAAAACGGTATGCAGGTATTAATGTACCGGTTAAATAATATAACTTGTTTGTACCTATATAGTTTTTAATTATTGCCATATATTAAAATTAATTAGAAATTACTTATTATGTGGTTGTTGGTAGAAGGAGTTTGTTAATTTAATAAAATCAACCATTAATTTTACATGGTGATGGTAAAATTAACAAAGCAAAGTTTATTATTATTGTCCCCTATCATATCAACGATTAAAAAGTGTATACTGTAATAATTATAACACACTAATTTACATGATTTTTCAGCTTATATTACTTTTATAGTACTTTGATCCACAGTAGTTTACTTTTAACTCAGTTTCTACATATGGGGCGAATAAGCTACAATTTAATGGGACGAAGAAGAAATCGATGATCTTGTAACCGCTTTTTATAACGAGTGTAAATAAAATAAAAATATATTAATACAAATAAAAGTTTTTTTATAGATAAGTAAAATATTTATCTAGTTGTATTGGGTTAGTGAATCAGTTAACCTAATCAGTTAACTATATTAGATATATTCTTTAAATAATTACCGATATTCCAAACTCCAAAGATAGATCTGCAGATTTTTACCAACACATAACACAACAAAAACAATTAAAACACCACCTTGGAAACGCCAAGTGTGAAAATACTGACCTTGTTTTATTTTAATCAGTATTCAATATTTATAACCCTTATCTGCTATAAGTGTTAACAGGGGTCAGCAAATCATTAACATAAATCAGCCAATAACATAGTTTAGATGACCTCAACATTATTTAAATTGGACTTAATTGCGTTAGTATTTGCAACCATTGTTTCTGTGTTTACGTTTTAAATTTATATTCAACATATACTATTTTTCGTTAAATATTTTTCATCATTCAATAGCCACATGAAAATTTAAAGACATAATTATTTTTTTCAAAGATATTTATGATATTTTGGTTGTTGATACTCTACAAGTGTACAACTTACTTCAACAATTTCCGTGTGTTTTTTATCGTAAGTTTTGCGATCACAGTTAAACTTATTAAGAATAAAACAATGTAAGGTTATAGAGTATAATTTATATAACCCAAAAGTTTTTAATACATATCTACTACTGAGATAAAGGAAGTTAATTTTAAATAAAAATTTAGGTCCGCAAGACTACAAAATCTTCTTACTGTGTTTCAACAAAAATAAATTACAGTACTTCTCTGCTGAAAAACAGAAGAGCGTTCAAGTTCCTTCCGTAAACGTTGAAATGCAAATTGTTCGGTAAAGCGTGTCGGAACCAGATTATTCCAATGTCACGGACGTGCAGTAGGTTAAACTGATAAGAGTAATTTGATAAGACGACTGTCCGATGACAACTTGGCTTTGACAAGGTCGCTTAAAACTGACAACTTTCACATGTAAACAAAGCTGGAAAGAATAGTGTTTCTTCCCATTTTATTTTTATATGTATACTGTATACGTTGTGAGTGTATAATCGTACACATAAAATTCACACGTCGGGAAGGTGCATAATTTGATACTAATTGAGCTACTAAGCGAGTACAAAATTCAAATTTCAGTGAGTACATATAAATATTTAACAATAACCACAATGGCTAATGGGAATGTTTCAATATTCTGACCGAAGTGTAAGGACATTTTATTTGATTTATTTACACTGTAATCCAACCTCACATATATTTTTTGTAGGAATAATTGAAATGACCTTAAATTAAATGAGGTCATATATGAATGGAATGTTTATTTGTGGTTATGCTAACTTATTATTATTCATTTTGTGCAGATAATTAATTATTGCAAAGTAGGAAAAATGTTTCGGTACATTTCCTTTGAGACTACTGTATGTCAAT